CCCCCAAATTTTGAGCCATCCGTGTACCAGATTGACTCATTAGGAGGAGGCACGCCAGGTGCTGTGTCATTCCATACTTCCTCGTAGGGATGACAGTGTTTGGGGCTTTGTTGAAGTTCAGAATTGGCAAGGTATCATCATGAGAATGGGGCAGTTTTCTCTTGCCTTATTCCATATGAGGAAGTGTCCTTGATCTGCTTCTGTTCCGACCCACTGGTTTGCACCGTTGAGTCGGTAAGCAGTTCTCATGACTTTGTTTTGTATGAACAGGTGTAGACGGCGGCAGACCTAACAGAACTTCAAGAGCCCTGGTAGGCGTCGTTCTCAGAGCACCTGTTATTCCCAGGCAGGCCAGTCGCTGGACTTTATCCAGTTCTCGGTTGGTCTTGCCCTTATTAGTACTGGTCCACCATACAATGGACCCGTACGTAGGTGTTGGGCGTATTACTGCCGTGTATATCCAGTGAAGGGTCTCAGGTGTAAGACCCCATGTTTTTCCAAAGGCTCGTCTGCATGCCCAGAAGCAGCATACAGCCTTCTTAGTGCGGTTTGCAATGTGCTCATTTCATTATATTATTATTATAACTCCAAGGTACTTCGATGAGCTTTTATATTGGAGACACTTTCCCGAGAGGAATATCTCAGGAAGTGTTCCTATTTTGCGTTTCTTAGTGAATAATACCAAGTTCGCCTTTTCTGGATTGACTCTCAATCCACTGGTGGAACACCACTGTTCCACTTTATTGAGGGCTTCCATGATTGGATTCCCTTGCCGGTTCGCCGATTGATTTTGGGCCATTATTACCAAGTCATCTGCATATGCTTGCGCATATAGCCCTGGCTTATTCAGATCTATGAGGAGCTCGTCTACTACAAGGCACCATAGTAGTGGTGATAAAACCCCTCCTTGAGGACATCCTCTTGATATCTTGGCAGCAACCGACCTCCCACATAGTTCTGCTTTTACCACTCGCTGCGATAGCAAGGCCCTAATCCACCTGGTCAAGGTTTGATGGACCCCATGTCTATCCGCGGCATGGCACATCGATTCAAATGACGTATTGTCAAATGCTCCTTCTATGTCTAGAAAGACTTCCATGGCTGAGTGTCCACCAGCTAGCACTCCATCTATCTTATGGACAAGATGATGGAGAGCCGCATCTGTGGACTTCCCAGTCTGATAGGCATATTGTTGTGCGTGCAGCAGGTTTATTTGCAGTGGCACATCTCTGATGTATCGATCTATCAGCCTCTCCAATACCTCATTGATCCTCTATTTAAGGAGTCCTGTACAACACCAATATCCAAATCAGGGGACAAGACCAGCAACCAACTACATGCCAATAAAAGTAATGAATAATATATCTAAGATATTCGAGAAATGTATCAAGAGCAGAGTAGTGAGTTATTACTGTGAAACCAATCATATTCTGATTTCCAGTTTGGCTTCAGAGAAAATTTATCTACTGAACGAGCACTTTATGAAATGGTTAATTCAGTCTTCACCAATTTCTAAAATAACAAGAAATGCATGGCAGTATTTTTGGATTAAGCCAATACCTTTGGTAAGGTCAATTATGATATTCTTTTTCAAGACTTATATGATATTGATATAAGACATTTTGCAGTAGACTTCTCTAGTAAGGTTTCTTCGGTGATAATTGTAGGACAAGTGTCGATAGTGAGATTGAAATGTATCAGTTTATTGAAGAGGCTCAGAAACTCATTAGTAAAGTTGGTTTTGATCTTAGAGGCTGGGAATATAGAAGTCTTCAGTGGCCTAGCGAAAAAAATGAGGTTTCCAATGTCTTTATCGACGAGAGGATAGTATTCGCTCTGATAATTCACAGAATTTGGAATTGAGTTACAAAAAGAACATTATTTTTTGTTTCCCATTGGATTTTCGACCCTATAGATTCATTGGTCCCATCACTTTATAACCGAAGATATTGATGTAATAAACATGGAAATCCTATATATTAGAGTTTTTCTATTGGTTGAACTCATAGACATTTCGAGCTTGGATAAATCGGACGATTAATGGGCTGTTGTTGGGTCGATTGAAGCTCACTACAAGGGAAAAGCGGAGATTCATTCCAGGTATTATGAATCCAGCTGATCTACCATCTAGACTCTAGAGGGTGTTCCGCGAAGAAGATATCAGAATCTAGATAGTGGGAGGGTCCTGATTGGCAGAGTTTATCTAAACTATGGCCTGGTTACGTCACCTGCTATGATAACGAGGAAATTGCTGGGTAGAAAAAAAACTGCAACCTCTTGTGTGAACCATTCTAGTACTGTGGAAATCGATTACTATTCTTCAAGATATAGAAGAGTTATCCGAATGTTGAGTAGGTGTCGACGTTCCATTTATAATTGTAGGACTACTATTGTCTTCGATAAATTAATTTACTTTTAACAACTGTTTTATTATAACTTATTTGACATAATTGAAACTGAAAATTTGAGATACCTGTTATATTGATTTTTGTTCAAGACTGTTTCACTGCCTTGAGCAAAACGATAGTCATTTTTTACACCAATGAATGATAGCGGTGAATATCCAATATTCAGTAGTCTAGAGTTCCTAGGGTACGTACGAAGGCGCTGAAGGGCCACCTATACTTTTTTTTTTGAATCCCGACTTTAAAGTCGGGGGTCCGAGATTAAATTCGGGGGTCCGAGATTAAAGTCGGGGGTCCGACTTTAAAGTCGGGGGTCCGAGATTAAAGTCGGGGGTCCGAGATTCAAGTCGGGGGTCCGACTTTAAAGTCGGGGGTCCGAGATTAAAGTCGGGGGTCCGACTTTAAAGTCCGAAACGGGTGTTCTCAGACCCATTCTATCATATCATTGAATTCGTCTTTCTTAGCTCTATCCAAAAATGAAATTACATACATTCGAAAATTCCGAGAAAATGATCGGTTTGGAAAATACGTCATCACTATTCTTTAATTCAAATATCCTTAATATTGACAAAATATCAATATAACATATATAATTAGTTAATTCATGATGAAAACTGCGCATTGAAAACTTGATCCTCAAAGTTTTCATAAGACTTTGAAATTTGGCTATTTATTGAAGAAGATTATGGAAATAGTCCGAAACGGGTGATCTCATACCTACAAATGTAATCATATATCATTGAACTCATCTTTCTGAGCTCTACCCAAGGACGGAATGACATTCAGGGTAGTTCATTTGTGAAAATATATGTTTTGTATGTCAAAGTCATATAGACATTATACCTAAAAATAAAATTCTATATGACTATGAACAACTCCGATTCTCTCAATTTTTTTGTATTCATTCAACAATGAGATTCTTAGCTATTAAGTGGAATATAAACAATCACCCTATACGTACGATAATGATCGTACAGGTGTGATCCATTATTTGACATTCAGTGTACATCCAAAAAGGAGGATTTTGACTGATCCTGATGTGATGATTATCCAATGGATGTAAAATTATTGTTTGTACATAAATGTACAGAGTGTTTCTCAAGTACATGTAGAAAATTCAGTGGCATGTTGCTGACGTCAAACTGATGAGTAACAATGGAAATTATTTATTTCTGTCCACATATTTAACGAATATAATTTAGCTCCTAACTTCAGTTTCGGAATCCCGACTTCAATCTCGGACCCCCGACTTCAATCTCGGACCCCCGACTTTAAAGTCGGACCCCCGACTTTAATCTCGAACCCCCGACTTTACAGTCGGACCCCCGACTTTGATCTCGGACCCCCGACTTTAAAGTCGGGATTCAAAAAAAGAAAGTATGGGTGGCCCTTCAGCGCCTTCGTAGGTACGCGATGGTGGGAGCGGTTGATTCGTTTGTTGAAGAACTTTTCACGTCGAGTTATGGCAGAGCATGTCTAGAAAGGAATATTCTCAGATATACAGGGTGTTTCATAATTGAATGCTGATCCTAAAGAGCGATGATCCTTGGATGATTTTAAGGAGAGAAGTTCATATAAACATATGCCCTGAACCTCTTAGTTTTTGAGCTACAGGGTGTTGAAATCAGAAGCGTACAGCGTTTTTTTAAACTGAACATTCAATATCAGGTCTACGAGGACATCACTGGTAGAAGTAAAAGTTTGATTTTCGTCCCAAAACAAAATGTGTTTACTCTTATAGTGGGTGTCTACTGGATTACCAAAAACAATATCCAAGAACTGAAGGAACAAAATTCTTTGGTTTTTATTTTTTTACGCGAAAACGGTACGTTGTATGAAAGTAAGTCTAGGAACCAAAATTGCTCTATAATGAATGAGAATTGAAAAAAAAACCTGGTTGTCAGAAAAATCAGTGGCGTACTATTTTTTTCTTCAAAAATTGTCAGTTCAAACCCCGTACGGACGCCACTGATGAGAATTTTTAAATATCTTCCACGTAAAAGAATGCTCCTTAATAATGAAAACGTGTATACATAATATCATAACAATATCTAGGAGTGATAAAAAATTATGATGAAAAACTCATTTTTTTCATGAAATTTCATCACCCTGTAGCTCAATAACTAAGAGGTTTAGGACATATGTTGATATGAACTTTTCTGTTTGGAATCATCCAAGGATTATCGCCCTTAAGGATCAGCATTCAATTATGAAACACCCTGTATTAATGAACACAAAAAATGGATATATATCCGGAAATACATTGAGAATTCGCATTCTCCATGAGATGAAAATATTAATTCTTTCTCGGTTTATTCAACAGAAAACAACTACTTTCCTGGCTAAATGCCACGACGAACAGGAACAGGATGTAGGATACTTCAGAAGGACATTATCGCAATGTTATTTCAACATTATCATATAACTCATATGTGAAAAATATTTTTGTTGTGCATCATGTTAAGTGGGTACTGTATAATAATATGATACGAGGAGATGCACTTTGACCGTCGATTGATCGATTATGTTTTTGTCAATTCGTCTATCTGTCTCTGGTCACTATCAAGGAGTTTAATATTATCAGACCATTGGTGCTTGTGAACCACCGCCTCAGGGTCTACACCAATGAAAAACAAAATTGACCACTACCATACTATCCACTTTATTCTTAACTGGAATGTACCGAGCGTTATCTATTTAGCGAACGAAGTCTTGTCAACAGTCGAGTCGTCAATCTTGAAAGTTGTGAGTAGTAGTTTGGTGGTTAGGTAGGTGATACTCAGGATAAAAAATCGAAGAATCTAACGAAGATGGGGCCAACTCTTTACATGCTCCCCCCTAGTCCTCCTGTCAGATCTGTTCTAATGTGTGCCAAGGCCATCGGGGTGAACCTGAATTCCATAAAGGTCGATTTGTTAGCAGGAGATCATCTCAAGCCGGAATTTCTCAAGGTAATATATAGAAGTATAAAAAACTATATAAAACATACTTTTTCATACTAACGTGCGGAGAAGAGGAATTTGGGTTTTTTCCTCGGTTTTTTCCGAACGCAATGGGCAAAAAATACTCATCAAATAACACTAATCTGAATATATCAGGTGATGAAATTACTTCGGAAGATTCAAGCTCTCTTGTCATATACCTGAGTCAAACAATTAAGTGATTCAAATAAAGTAATACATTATTTATTACGAATCTAGTAAGGTGTCGCTTTCCGTAGATCGAAGGATAAACAATATTTTTCCTAGTGATGCTATCTTTGTTAAATCCGAAGATATAGGTACCAATCGCAATAAATAATTTATTTTTCTACAAACGTCAAAAAATGACAAGGTTCGGGCATTGATAACGAATTGCGAAGTGACACCTACGTTACCATGATACCTTGCACAAAACAATGCGCGAAGTAAAGCAGTGCGCGAAGTACCTACTTGGCGCATTGTTATGTAAAATATAATATGAGATATTTATATTTCAACTTTATGATGGACCTCAATCGGGCAAACATCCACGAAATCATTCATTTCTGAATGTTCAACAATAACTTTGTTTTATCTCTTGGAGCGCACGAAACGAAGTTATGCTCGTGGAACATGGTGCGTATACCTAGGTAGGTTAGGGAAAGGCCTGTTAAGCTAGTTCAACACTATTTTTCATATCAAGCTGAGCATATTTTCACTTTAGAACTATATTTTTTGACGTTTGTAGAAAAAAATCTTTTTGCAACTCGAGCGCGAAATACTTTGGTCATCTGGACTATTTTTTCAACTCGGCTACGCCTCGTCGAAAAAATCAGATCTTGATCACCAAAGTAGCATTTCGCGCTCAAGATACAAAAATAACTATTTCATCTCTGTTGATAGGCTATGAAATGTCACTTTCTATAAATTACTTCTTTCCCACGGTGAAAAGGTGAGTACTTCTTTCCCGTTTATATAAGGTGTTTTTGAAATAAGTACATATAATCAGCACATCGATATAATACAGTCTAACGAATATTTCCATGATATCAGATTTTTTCTAATTCTTCTGATTAACAAGAAATTTCATCCCGAAAATTGAACAGAAATCGAGAAAACAATATTCAAATGACGTCAGAATGGCTACAGTGTGGAACTTTGGGTGGAGAAAGGGGTCGAACCTTAAATTTTATTGTGATCCCTATATATTTTCATTGGTAGGTATCACTCGATAGTATACGTCGAGCTTTTCATGACATGAAATATCTGCACTTATTTCAATGCCACCCTGTACACTGTTGATGGCTTTTGTTGTGCTAGTTCCGAAAAATAACCCAGCAGACATTTTGATGTGGGGCATTAATGGCCTAATATATTTTTCCTCCTACCCCTATAGAAAGTACACACTTTCCTCCCTCAAATCAGGGAGGAAAGTCATACTTTTCCTCCCCCTCATTTCAAGTAAGTTGTAAACGATGAAACTTGTGAATTCTATATTTATATTGTTTCCATAATTTCTAGAACATCCTGTATATCTTGTTTTTTGGTAAAAATCAAACATTAATGTTACTTCAACGTAGTTCTTCAATACAAATTTCAACTTCAGGAATCTTAGATATACGTTTTTTGAGTTCAGAATAAGAAAAGCATAGTATGCTGTGGCTCACTGACAGTAAACACGGCGATTGACTTTTAAGGTGCAAAGTCGCTACATTCATTAAACTTAGTTGAATTTTTTAAAAATGGAGAGCGATTCAAGTGATTTTGAATTTCCAAATACACCACCTAATATTAAGCAACAAGCCAACATAGCGTCATTAACCTTACTACCACAAAAATCTAAAGTCAGGTATGAAAAACAATATGCACAATATAAGCAATGGACTGAAGACAACAAGATACATAAATATTCAGAGAATGTTTTACTGGCATATTTATCACAACAAGGAAAATCATTAAAAGCTTCAACACTTTGGTCTAAATATTCAATGCTACGCACAATGATACAAATGAAGGACAATGTCGATATTGAATATCCAAAGTTTATTGCATTTCTAAAACGTCAAAATGCCGGATACAAACCGAATAAAGCTAAAACTTTCACAAGAGAAGGAATAAATACATTCTTAATGGAAGCCCCCGATGATTTTTTTTTTATTGATGAAGGTACGAAATGAAATCCCATGCAGATAATTAAATTTTTGATATAAAATATTCATAGGTAGTCCTTGTTATTGGAAGAGCTTATTAAAATGACAATGGATGACATTGAAGACAAAGACAATCTTTTAGTCATAAATATCCCCACTTCAAAAACGTATAAACAACGAACTTTCGTTATCAATACTACAACAGGTAACGGCCCAAATTTTGTTCAAATCGTTAAAAAGTATATCTGTCTACGTCCTAAAACTGAGCATAAACGATTGTTGGTATGCTTTGAAGCAGGCAAATGTATAAATCAAGTGGTTGGCAAGAATAGTATATCCAAAATACCACAAAAAAATTGCACAATATCTCAATCTTCCAAATGCCGAACATTACACAGGGCACAGTTTCAGAAGAACTTCAGCAACTCTGTTAGTAAACGCTGGTGGGGATATTTTAGCTCTAAAACAGCATGGCGGTTGGAAATCAACCAATATCGCAGAAGGTTATGTAGAACAATCTTACACAAAAAAAAGAAAAATTTCTGACCAAATTATGGGAAATAATGTAGAACCTGAACTTGATCAAAATCAGCAAAGCACTTCTAGAAGTTACCACCATTACAATGTGCTGAGCGAAAATATTTCAAATACTAAAGCTCCTGTTCAAACTCTATCTTCTTCCAATGGTGTTCATATAAGTGTTGCTCAAAACTGCACATTCAATATTAACATAACTAATTCTAAAATATAGTTAAACAAAACTATGTACTTAATTGTATAGCACATATTTGTTGTTTAATAAATAATTCTTGTGTATTTGTGTCGTGAAAAATTTTTCAAAAAAAGGTGGGTAAGAGGAAAAATCATATGTATCACATGGGAGTAAAGTGCCTTTTCCTCCCTTGGATGTTTACTGCCCTCAGCTTCGCGTCGGGCAGTAAACTACATCCTGCGGGAGGAAAAGTGGCACTTTCCTCCCTAGTAATACAAATAGCTATTTCCCATACCCGACATCAGCGGCCCAGTAAATGGTCCCATATGCGGGACACTGCGGCCGGAAGCTGGTCCCAGTGCTGGGTACCCAGCAATCATACAATCATATTCAACATAAACGACACATTGAGTTTCCCATAGCAAGCCCAGTATATACAAAAATGATGGGACTATAATGGAGAATTAACGACATTGGTTACATACTATCGAGGTAGGGGAGGGGTAGAGGTTTTAGGGGTCCAATGGATCTGAAAGTTCTAGTACCCCTTTATTTTACAGCATCATGAATCAGACACATATCAGGTTCCAAGAGAACAATTTTATAATTCACGATTGATATCTTCTTATAACCTCTGTTCTTCAACGATGAAACTTCTCGGAGTGACTGCGCACTGGTTGGTATGTGGCATCTACATCTTGGGTAGTATTCTTTCGAAGTTGATTCTTCGTTGTGAGGTACTTCTTGAAATAATAAATGCATCATCAGTTATATATAAGAGTTTATAACTTGATAATATAGTCTGATGACGTGATAACATGGAGCTTTTCTATTCTCATCATTTGCTTGGTACAGGTATTTCTGTAGCTGAAACCTTATTGTTATTTAGTTCTCCAATATATAGACAGGTTCACATAACCTAATATTGTTTTTGATAGCAACAGAAGAGTTGAGAATGATAGTTGCTTTTGAAGAAGTATAGCCAACTCGAATTATTATGATCATTAGGTATATGAGGTTACGAGATAACAAACACATGCATTTAATAATGAAATTCGAAACACTATGTAGGTAGATTGATACTTACTCAAAATTATCATAATAGAAGAATCCGTCTTCTATTATTATCAATTGAGAATACTCCTGCCATCATAAATAACCATTAATTCGACATAAACAAACTAGTACGCGATCACTACTCACGAGAGTCAGCCATCTCAGTCACATATAATATTGATCAGCTGATTGTTGATGCAGACGTTCCCAGAACATCCACCAGGGGACGAGAAGCGAACATGAGATTGGCCAGCAATGAGCCAGATCTCATTAGTATTCAATTAGTTCCAGACATATTACCATCACAAGGCCATCATCGTATTTTTAACTGATGGTTACTTGGCATAGGAAAATCATCGGCCCATTGTCAATACCCCGGTATCGTCACTTTCCTTGACTAGCCTGCACTAGGTTGGACTTCTCCCGCTAGTTCAATGTTTGCTGGAAAGGCTATATATAACACCATATCCGAGAAACAACTGCAAGTCATTCTGATTTTCCGGAATCGTAAATTACTAAACGACCACTAAGTTCGCAATTATTTTTAATCAAATCACATGATTATGATTCGTCCTTTTCACTGCCAAAAAAAGTGTATTATACACAGGAAATTTATTAGAATACAGCTCACTGGTTTTTGCCTTCCTCCGCTACGCGTCGGGAGACAACACAACCTCGAGCTAAAATCTACTACTTTATTACCTTGTATCATAAATTTTTTGTTTTCAAAATGAATATGATGGAAATTATCAGTTTTATATCAAGTATTATAGCTCAAACAGCCTGCGATACGGTTTATACGATCATGAATAATAAAAAACTGAATTTTTCGAATAAAAATGAACTACAAACTTTTCTGACACTCTGTATAGTACCAAATTATAAAATCATCATACCAAGACTATGGTTGGAAATCATGCATTGATATAAAAAACATTTCCTGGCCCACGTGGCAATCAAATATGTCAAACATGCCAAGGTGATCGTATGATCCTAGTATGTATACAATTAGGCAATTAGGGAGTTTACAAAGTGAAAATTATTGCTGAATTATTTTTCCGCCTTGAACTATA